TATATATATATATATATATATAGCGCATATCTCAAGGAATTATAAGCTAAACGCACGAAACGTCCCAGTTTTCAGGGGCTCTAGACTAGCGCTTAATATGCATCCATACATAAAGGATAATCTTGTATAGACAGCAACTATGATCCAAATCTTCCGGACTTTAAAGCGGAAAACAGGAAAACGATAAACGAAGGAAAACGTATCCGTTTCTCGCCATCCCAGAAGCGCTTAATCCGATCCGCACATTCCCTCCGTATTTTTTTCCATCCACCGTTGCGTATTAAAAATAATGAGGCCGTAAATATTTAGACATTACGTATTCCCATTATTTTATCATACTACTCTCTCTCTCTCTCTCTCTCATTTTTTTTTTCATTTGGTTTAGTTCTCGCAACAAACTGAAATTCTATCCTAATTAAATTAAAATAATTGGATATCGCATCGCGTTACCTGAAACAAATGAATGGCACACATTATTTGTTTGTTTTTTTTTGTTGCTGTTATTGTTGCTTCCCTTTCTGTTGTAGCACACTTTTTTTTAACCCGCCTGCAATTACTTTTAAACCAGCACGGTTTTATCCTTCTAATTAGGTTTTGTTTAATTCCAGATAATTTAATTAAAATGTAACTAGTTCACGTTTTCCATTCCGGTTTCGACATTCTAGACAATCCAATTTAATGTTTTTTTTAATTCATGTAGAAACAATTTCTTTATGTTAAATGGAGACATTTTACACTAAAAACAAACGTTCATAAAAATTATTTCGACAATGAAGATGAAAATGTGTGTCATACATTCAAAACAGAATATTTTTCAGACTCTGAAAAGTGGTTTGGAAATTATTTATACACGGTGTTTCAGGTTTAATTACATTTGCTTCAACTGATATTTAATGATAGACTGTGATACTGAAACTGAAGAAATCTATTTGAAAAATGAATGGAAAATTTCAAGACTTTCCTAGTAATTTTATGTAATATATCTAGTGTTAAATGTCTACCGAGTTTATATTAAACTATGTCATTTGTTTGTTTGCGTTCAGTTGTTTATAGTGTTGTTGAGCTAACTTGTTACAGTGGTTAATGTCAGAGTTTTCAAATGTTTGTTAACATGACGTTTGTGTCATCAACGATGAACTAACTTTTAATGATTAATATAAAAGTTATGGTTAATATAGAGTGCTTTGTATTCAGTGTTGGATTAAGGATAGTTGGGCTGACATTGCCTTAACGGGTAATCCATCATTGATTGTGTTTGTCTAAGGTATTTTATGTAACGTTATTAGGTTATTACGTAATGGATGATATTGTTAAAGTGAGTATGGTATGAATACAGCGGTGGCTGTGAAAGGTAAACAACGTAAGAGTGACTTGTGAACTGTCAAGCATGTCTGTCAAACATGTTTAGATTTCTCGGTGCAGCAGCGGTGACGGCGAGGTGGATCGAAATTCGGAGATTTTCCGAGATTCCCTGCCGAAGCTGCCGTTATAAATTATTCGATTACTATATACCTCCATCACACATTCGATATTTCAGCAACAAAGGTGAGCATTGCATTCGATTCAAAGGCGCGCAAAACCTGTATTACAGGAATGTCAACTAAACGACGTTTATTAAGGAAACAACCAATCGCCTCCGAAATTACCGACTTTGGATAAGGATGTTAAATTCAAGAAGTTCCCGCACCGGCCGGCCCTGTACGAGAAGCAGCACGCGAATCAAATCAAGGTGGACAAGGATCTGAACGTCAAGACCAGGGAAGTGCTGGCCGTGAAGCAGAGGCTGGATCCGAAGTTCGCGATCGTCGGAAAACCGTACAGCCTGAAACAGACGGCGAGCAGCAGCAGGCTCTACACGAAGGTACCGACATTGGAGCTGGCACAGGAGCAGTCGCAAGAGGAGCAACCTCAACGACAGCAGCAGGATGTTGTAGTCAAGGAGGAGCTCGATTCAAAACCAGAGGAATTCATCAAGTTAGATCAGACGGAGAGAATACAAGTGGAGGAAGAGGTGGCTGCGAAGAGCGAGGAAACCGTCGTGGCGGAACAGATTCTGCAGAATATTAATGAAAAACAAGAGGGCGAAGCACTACAAGATGCAGCAGCGAGATTGGAAAGTGCGGAGATGGCGGCTTCCGAAGCTAACATAATTGGAAGCCTTACCGATCGCGAATTAGAACAAGACCAAGAGCAAGGGGACAAGGATTCCGACAGCAAGGATGGTGGATGGAGGGCCGTCAAGTATTCGATTGCGTTCATGGTCACTGCAGTCTCCTGCACTTTGGGCTATTTGCTGGCCGCTTTCGGACGTCCCAAGTATGATTTTGATGGCAACGCGATCCCCGATAAATATTCAAATTTGCCAATCTACAAGCAATACATTTTGAGAGCCTCCGATGAGATCAAGTACTACAACCGGGTAGCGAGTTTTTTTTGTTTCATATTTGGCCGCTCTCTCACCTGTATCAATATTTTTTCTAGCTGATCAAAGAGCCGTCCAGAGATAAGCTATTGCCAGATGTGCTGAAGCCACCGTACTATCAGCCACCCTACACTCTGGTCATGGAGTTCACCGACGTCCTCGTTCATCCGGAGTGGACGTACAGCACAGGCTGGCGCTTCAAGAAACGTCCAGGTATGTACGTTACATTCGATTCACCCTGATAATTCCCTGTCAATTGCGAAATTATTAAGTGAAACGAATATGTCGTATCAAGCGAAAATAGTTGATAGTATTATCCTCTCCACTGAATGAGTGATAAATTCAATTACATTTATACAAAATATAAACATGATTTAATTCAATGCACTCGAGCATTCGCAAAACTAATTTGGATCAGCACATGTAATGCTTTAAACTAAACTTTATAATTGGTACTTCTAATTTGATTTAGACACATCATCAACAAACATTTTCAATTACATTAATTTCTATTTTCTAAGTGTCAGTATATTAAATTAGTTTAGTAAACAATTTAAATTTGTATATTATTAAAATCATTCAATTTTATTTGTAGTTATGTACTTGCTTTTTATTGTTAACAATTGCAGTTAACTTTGGAATTTTGTAGGAAGAGATTTAGTATTTTCACGTAGCTAATTGCCTGTCTATTGATGACTATTTACATTTCGTTTTAGTGGTCGTAAACTAAAGTAAGGCAAACTGTGTAGGCGGATGGTTGAAGACATTCTACTCTTTTGTGTATGTGTTTTAGCGGAAGGATAGATAAACTTACGTTTTATGTATGCCCATAGGACTGGATCAGTTTTTGGAGTTGCTCTGTTCCCGTTTCGAGTTGGTCGTGTACACGGCGGAGATGGGCATGACTGTTTTCCCGATAGTAGAAGCCCTGGACAAGAACAACTTAATCAGCTATAAGCTCGTCAGAGACGCCACGAATTTCGTCGACGGTCATCATGTCAAAGATTTGGACAAGTTGAACAGGGATTTGAGCAAGGCACGCACAAAACCACCCGCCCTAAACACAATACTAATCCACACGGAAAACCGTACACGGGGTGGACTATATAGTATGCAGAGACGAGTCGTGTCTGAACCATACACATGACTAAACCCACCCCAATCCGAAAGATAGATAACGCGACTAGTTCACATCATAACTATGCAAATTTCGGGATTTGCGGATCTGAGCCCGATGTATTAATTAATAAAACGCCGGCCGTCTTCTTTTGTTTCAGGTCATTGTTGTGGACTGGAACCCGGAGTCGGCCAAGTTCCACGGGGAAAATCTGTTCAAGATCGGCAGATGGAACGGCAACGACGATGACACGACCTTGCTCGATCTGACGTCCTTCCTCATAGGTAAGGCACGAGTTTAATCTCTAGAAGGCCTAAGTTTAACCAATCATCTTCTTCAAGCTATATCCGAATGGGAAATTGAGGATGTGCGGAGCGTCTTGAAGTACTACAGCGGATTCAAGAACCCCTTAGCGATCTTCAAGGAAAGGCAGCAGCAGATCTACTCCGCGCAATAATCCTACCATATACCAAGTTCATTTCCGTTCTGTAAGGTTTTTTCTTCCTCTTAATATTTATCTTTTTTTATTTTCCTCGAAAAGTGCGCGCGTGTGCGGAAAACACATTCTGGTTACAATTTTTCATCATTTGGAGATGTGGACACTGCGTAGATCATAAGTTGTAATACTAATAAAAAAAACAGAAAAGAAGGCTATTTCTTGCGAAGTCTCTGTTTTGCGTGCAGCTGGGGAATCATCGTTATTAATAGATGGACACCGGCGTAATATCTAATAATGACAGCACACGATCGGCTATTGATTGCGTCTCGTCCTCTAATTAAATTAAGGCTTTTCGTATTGTGCCTTGTCCTTGTTTTTACGTTGTAATCATCGTCGCCGTGGCCCACCCGCCGTCCTCCTCTCTGTCTCTATTTGTTTGCCCCACTGTTTATTACGAATGTGTCATACAATTAAGATCCTTAATTAAATAAAAGTGACTGGGAAAGAAGGGTGAAGATAATGGAGAGAAGACGGCGGGAGGGTTTTAAGGAGAAGGCAAGTTGGTTGGGTGGGTCTTTCAGCTCAAATCTGACGATGGTGTATGAATAATTAAGGTGTAGCATGCAATCACAAATTATGAGCGATAAAGAAACATTGCCGGACAAGAAGTTACACCCATTTCATCCGTAGGTTTTTACAATTTATATCAACTTGTAGTTAATTAAAAAGGAAATATAATACAAGTATCATTAATTAACAAATTAGACTTGTCTTAAAATATTAAGTATTATTTTATGTTTTTCTATCCACGAATTTAGATTATAATTTAGGGTATAATTTTGTAATTAAAAAAGAAGACAAAAACAATTCACAAAATGAAAACAAAATCATAGTTACAAAATGTACAAACAATAATTTTTAACACGTTTTATTTGATTTATTATTCTGTACATAAATTTACCAAGTGATTGTTATTCTAACAAATTGTCAATTAATAAGGAGTCTTTAAATCAGTGGTTTCCAAACTTGATGTTACTACGCCTCCCGCAAAAGTATGTAATCATTTGGCGCCTCCCCTTCCATAAAATAAACGCGCATTACAGCAATATGGATAAGAGCACAGGAATGTATCTATACTTGCTGGATTCCCCAAACATTCAGCTTTTATATGCATATATTGGATTCATTCTATCAATTATAGTTTTCGAGTAAATCAATGAAATGTGAAAACACTGCTTTCTCAAACGTTCTAATTTCAATTTTTTAACTTTGAACGCGAATTACAGCAATATGGATAAGATCATAGGAATGTATCTATACTTTAGCAAATATTTGGAAAATTGCTCACTGCTACTTATATTCGCGCCTCCTCTTAGGGAGGCGCGCCTCACAGTTTGGAAAACGCTGCTTTAAATAGTGTATCCATCTCCAATTCAGTTACGATCATTGTGACACGTCGCTTGACTTTTCTAAGCTGATGATGGTTATGTAATCATATTAATTACAAAATTCCCGTCGATGAATTGCCGTAATTGAATTGCGATGTATAATTAATATTTATCGATTCAATTAAATAGTGAATAGCTTCGTTAATTATAGTTTATATTATTTGAATTAAATCGAGGATAATTTGAATAATTTACTTATTAATTATATTTGTGTGAAAATTAATTTAATTGAGTAACAATTTATCATTAGAAAATAGTCATAAAGGCTATAACGTTTTATGAAGATTGAATTAGTAAATTCTATTTAAGATATTCGACTTATGATAATTTCGACTTACGACCAAATTTGTAAAACGGAACTTCGTCATAAATAGAGATATAGATTTTTTTTCAATTAGAAAATTGATTCAATGAATTAAATGTAACTGTTTTTAATATCCATAAATAATAAATAACATAACTTATGATTTCAGGAAATTTCATAATAAAATATTACTCCTTAAATACGAATATTTTATTTGAAAATGTCCATTATTACAAATCCAGAATTAAGAGGCGAAATAAAAATGTTGTTAAAATTTTTGTACGTCCATTGAATTAAACCGGACTAATCGAGACTTGACCGTATAAATGAAAAACACAGAACATTTATGATATAAAATTTAGATTGTTTCGAAATTTTCAAACCGTACTATAATGAATCAGCACTAATCGAATCCGTACTATACCAGGTGTTTCCGTATAACAATATAATAGGTTTATTTGGCTATTGTATAAAAAAAATAATCCTATTACAATTTGTTTATTAAATTGTTTTACGCATACATAAATCAAGAAGGCGATATATATATAAATATATAAAAAGTAAGGAGTAAATTCAATAACTTGAGAATTCTTTGAAAGTGCCGACGATAAATCGAAAGTAGTTAAAGGTAATGTTGCGAGTAAGTTTTTAAAACTGCTGACAGGATTCGATTTAAAAGGCGTTATGGAATCTTATGATGTATTCATTCTGTTAAAGAGGTTGGGATGCGGGGAGTGGTTGGAGAAAAGGCGATAGTTACTTGCGCGCCTCTCCCGCAAATGGCGATATATAAACCAATACACCTGTTGAAACCGTATTTTAATCCCCCATGAAGCAGGAATCTAGTTTTCCTGCATGGGCGCAATAAGGGCGAACGATACATAAATTGACGAAATCTATTGGATTAAAAGTAAATAAATTACACATTTTTACATAGAAAATCGATTGAAGAATAAAATATACTTTTGTGAAAAATCGTCCCATATAATTTATAATTTATTAAATCAAAAGTGTGATTAAATTAACGGCCACGATTTAATGTAACAAGGGCAATAGAAGTAATTGGATTTCATGGAAATTTCGCTTAAATATAAACACCCTTTACGCCCTTATATAACAACGAGTGAGTGAGTGTGTGTGTGTGTGTGTATATATTTTAAGGGAGTAATAATGTTTTTTAGGGCACTTAAGCGATCCGGGTTTTTCGGCGTAACGAGGTCAATTAAAATGCGCGTAAAAAAAATTGTGGGTGGTTTTTGAGGGTTTTGGTAACGATCGTTATTGGGTTTCGAAATGCCGTAAATACGCAAATAAAATGCGTTGCAAATAAAAATCTGATGCTTACACAGAGAGAGTAGAGTGTCTATTGATTCACTCCAGTGGTTATGTGTTTGTATTGTGTATGTATATATAGATGTGTGGGTGAGTGCGCGTGGAATTTTATATAAGCTTCGAGATGGTTCGGATGGAATTCTGCACTTACCCATTGGGTCTGGTCGTCCGCGCCGGAAATCCGGGATGTCGAATTTTGTGGTGCGTTTTAATTAAACGCGAAAACGATTCGCGCAATAACGAATACTAAAAGTGGGAGTGGGATTGGGGGGTAAAAAACAAATGAATAAAATAAAACATGGGATAGTAGTTAAGTCAGCTGGTGGCCTACTTGATGGAAGCAGGACGAAGTGTAGGGTAACAGGAATAGGACACGCCGTGTCCGGAGACGGCGCACTCGCTCTGATGCAACAGGCGATCAATAACACACGTACTGAATACATCTACACCCATACACATGCAATCGCCCATGTGTGTGTGTGTATATATATATATACGTATACGCATACACATTCGTGCAGTTCGTCCTGCTGCCGCCGCCTATACCACCCGTCGCATCCACCGATATTGCACTCAATCAATGCTTCAATTGAACCTGCAGCAGCAGCAGCAACCAAAAAAATATGTAATTTAATTCACCGCGTAAAGAAATAATGTCGATCGCAAAAATTGGAAACCAAAACAAGTTTACAATTTTTTTTTGTGACGGAAACTGTCAATGTGACATTACGATCGCCGACCAATTGAATTGCGAGATTTCATTACGTCAATTCTAGTCACAAACAAATTAAATATTTTCTTTTTAATTCATTTACATTCACATAAATTAAGAACCTATGGTCAGGAGTCTTTTGTAGCAAGTCAATTCAGTTTTATTTTTCCTTGCTTTGGTATTTTCTTAAGTTTGTATTATATTTGTTGCAATAAATATTATTATTAATCTTTGACGTGGATATGTCGTATATATTCGTCTTGGTCTATTGTATTGCGTAGCGCTTATGACGAATATATTCGCATCATGAATTTACTTGGTGTTCTTAATGATTATGTCGAATATATACGCGTAATCGTAATCGTTCCTGCTCATAGAGAAGGGGTATACGCATTGCTGGTTTCACTTTGACATAAGGTGACAGCTGTCATTTCGTGACCAATTACAAATTTTCTGTCACCTAATTTTGGAACGCAACCCAATGATAACGACATTGTTTCACCACACAAAGAAATAATGTCGATCGGAAAAATTGGAAACCATAACAAGTTTACAATTTTTTTTATGACGGAAACTGTCAATGTGACATTACGCTCGTCGTCGAATTGAATTGCGAGATTTCATTTACATTCACATAAATCAAGGGCAGTAGTCTCTTCCAGCAAGTCAATTTCATTTAATTTTGTTCTTACCATTTATTTTGTTAAGTTTGTATTATGTTTATTGCAATAAATATTATTATTATTAACCTTAAGTGATTATGCCGCATATATTCGTCATGGCGATGCGTAGAGCTTATGACGTATATATTCGCATCATTAATTTACTTGGTGTTCTTAATGATTTTCTCGAATATATACGCAGAATCGTAATCGTTCCTGCTAATAGAGAAGGGGGTATCACTTTGACATAAGGTGACACCTGTCATTTCGTGACCAATTACAAATTTTCTGTTACCTAATTTTGGAACGCAACCCAACGCAGTGCAACTTTATGATAACCACATTATTTCACCGCGTAAAGAAATAATGTCGATCGCAAAAATTGGAAACCATAACAAGTTTACAATTTTTTTTGTGATGGAAACTGTCAATGTGACATTACGATCGTCGACCAATTGAATTGCGAGATTTTATTTACATTCACATAAATTGAGGGCAGTAGTCTTTTACAGCAAGTCAATTTCATTTAATTTTGTTCTTACCATTTATTTTGTTTAGTTTGTATTATGTTTATTGCAATAAATATTATTATTATTATTAACCTTAAGTGATTATGCCATATATATTTGTCATGGTGATGCGTA